AGCTATGTGGACCAACTGTTAGAAGATCAATTCTCTGTATGTCACAGCCTTTTGGGCAGCCTTCCAGTCTGACAGCTTGAGAGGATCCATTTCAAAACAAACAACAAAGGGAAGATGTAGCTGTGAATTAAAGGCTTTGAAATAAAACCCATGCAACAACCAATGGGTCACAGGATTTGTGAGCTATTTCACCTCTAAACTTTTGCCAGCAATGGAACATACATATATGTTTGTACCTTGGGTACTGGAAGCCTGAAGACACAGCACACGCCTTGCAGTTACACAAATACAACAACTTCAGGAAAGATCAATCCAAACACGAGATAAATAAAAAATCCTACAATCACATTCCAGGTACAGCTGAAAAGCTATTGCTTGAAGATCCTTGTGTTCTTGCTTGAAAAACATGAAGAGAATTTGAAAGAAAAAGTACACCTTTATTGTGGCTTTGGTGTTTCTAATATCTAGACAGGGAAATATTCAAATGGGGATACCGTGGCTGATTAGCTGAGCCACATCATGAGGACCCATCAACATATAAATCTGCCCTATCTGTGCTTCAAGTCAGGAGTCTACGCCTCTTCCCAAATCTGTGACAGTAGAACACCACAGAAGAAAAACAGCCTCACCAGTGTTCTTTTGCACCTTTGCAGGGTGACGCACAGCCCAGATGTGTGCCTCTGGGAACCAGGGAGCATTAAGAAAACTGCCAGCAATAACTAGCAAATTAGCTAGCTAGAAAATCAAGGTAAATAGGAGAATCAGTAGGGATGAAAGAGGTGGCTGGTGACTTATTTGGCTGCAGATGAGAGTTCTGGGGAGCTATTTGGGTTTATTTTTATTCTAGCCCTCCCTTCCTCCCCCTTCTTTCCAAAGCTGGAAGCATCAGGCTACAGAATAAAACTTATGGCTTCTACTTGACTGCCTGCAATGCCAACCCTAGCACCCCGAATGCTTCCCTGGGCTCTTGCATACCTGACGACCACAGTGGAACTGAGGAGCGTCCATTTCTAATAGCTTGAACAGACCTAGGCCAACTTTAGGTGCTTTATTTTCAGCACACATCTGTGCAGGTTCTGGACCACCTTCTGAGAGTCACTCTGTCTCACCAGTTTGGGGAACACAGGTGATATAACCACTGCTGAACTCATCGGGTGCATGCATGGGGCTGGAGACGTGCACGTGAACCGATCCCTCTCTCAACACACACATGTCAGGGAGAGGAAGAGCAGTGACAAGCAAGTCAAGTCCATTGGCAGAAATTCTCTGTAATGCAATGTTCTTGTTACACTGCTGCTCTGGCCTCACCTTGGACTTGTCTGAAATCCAGCTTTTTAGGGCAACGCAGAGCTGTAGCCATGAGTAGGCCCAGACAGAACAAGTGGTCTTGACGAGCTCTCACAGAGCAGATCACTTGCTGCCTTCCTTCACCCTTACAAGCATTCTTAGCAGATCTGGTAACTTACATATTTAAGCAGTACCACAAACACAGATGCCAGGGAAACAAAAACAAATCAGTGATGCCAAGTGGATCCCTTTGGATCCAGAACTTAATGCAGAAAGAAAATGAAGTGTCCTGTGCAATTCCGCATTACCACCAAAGAATATCTTCTTGAGAGAAGTCTGCACAAAGACCTGTTACCACACCAGCTTTGTACTAGGAATAGAGAATTGACATTTTAGATGCTCTCATCTAACACTGCATAGAGCTGGCTTTGTAAACACAGCCAGCCCTGAATGGAGAGACCTTCAGGGAGCAACCCACAGCATGTTTGGAATAGGTCCCATGCCAACACTGTGCAGGCTGAAGAAGTGCCAGTAGACATAGGAATTTCTTCCACAGAATCCTTAATTCTTTCTGGACTAGTTATGACTAAGAATGTTGTGCAAAGACCTGGCCTAACACAACAACAATGTTTAGCTACATCTAGACTCAAACTAAAAAGCCATGACAGTAAAAGCTTTTTAGTAATACCTGTACCTGTGCAAAGTTTAACACAGAATTGAAGTCTTTGACTTGAAGACATCTATCACCTGCAGGGACTCACATGATGGAGGTAAATGCCTCTAATTGCATAGACTGTGTAAATTCTATGCCATGCAACACAGTGCTATCTAGGCATGCCAAACTGGGCCTACAGTGCTGCTTTCCAGGAGCAGAAATCTCTGTAGCATGTCTCCCAGCATGGCTGATCTGCAATAAAACTGTGAAGACCTTTCCCAGAGAACTTGGCAGTGCAATCGCTGGTTCTGATAACCAGGTAAAACGGTTCTGCTCTCGCAATGTAGTGTACAAATCCTCAGGATGCCTCTGTCACCATACGGATATGTCATAGGATATTTTCTAAGGTATGATGAGACTCCATTCTCCTGTACTATATAGGGGTTACATACTGAAATATTAGGAGTAACATTTCAGAGCACCAATATCTTGTCACATTTTGTCCTACTCATCACAGACAAAAAAGCAAGATTCACAAGCCTTAAATATCGCTTAGGTATATGCAAATGGCTAAGTCATACATGTGGTTACATTAATTGGGACCCAAATTCAAACACCTCTGAGGACTTGTTAACATTTAACTTGTGTCAGAGCACAAATAGTGTCAGGGTTCCCCCTGTGGCATCAGATTAGGCCCATTAATTAGTCTCTATTAATACACAATCCCTGGGTGCCATTAGCACATTTCTATTGGAAATTTTTTCACAGCGAAGTTTCACTCATTCTAATTGCTCAAGTTGTCTTTTGCAGAAATCTAACAGTTGCTTTTGGATAGAAACAGTAGTACAAACACAAGCAAATAAAATAAAACATACACCAGCTTTAGCACAGACCTCAGAGTGCAATCCAAAGGTCACTAAAGTCAGTGGAACAACTACAGTTGTCTTCCATGGGCTTGGGATCAGGCTTCTTACGAACAAACTTTTACTAAAGTTTCAGCCTCTTTGAGAGCTTGCCTAGCTATTTCACGTCCACTCTAATTTAGCATAAATAGAAAGCAATTCTCCAGCCCTTTCTTGCATGAAACAGCTTGGTCCCATTAATTGGAATGGTTCTCACAAGCAAGTGCTCCTTCATACATACCAAAGTCAGCAGTGTCTAAATAACAGCCCAGGAGTAGGGAAGAAATAAATTCTAGTAAGAGCCAGTTAGACCACATTAGTGCCAGTATTCCATATTCCATTATCACCTACATCTCTCTTTCTTCTACATCTTTTAAAACTGCTTGCTTGTGTTTGTTTCCTTGCAGGTTCCTACAGGAATGAGGGGAGGGACTGCGACTCTGATTTTTTTTAATTACCTTTAAAAAAAGTTTTACTCTCCAAAGGATAAATATCGCAAGATTTCCATACTAAGAGATCGTGGTGGCAACACACTCTTACATAAGGAGGAAAAGGAAGATTTCTCATATGTTCCTTTGGCTCAGTATCACAGCAGAATCAAAAAAAAATGGCTCTACAGACAGAGCCAATGTCACACTTCACACAACTTTGCTGCCTTCTGCAAAGTGGCTGTTCATTTCATGAGGATTGAATCTGGTCTGCAGATTGTAAAATACTGCAGTAGCTTAATTTGCAAAAATCATGGCAAAGACCAGTCCAACTTGAAATATAGGCAGCAAATGCAAAAAGCATGATTGCACCTCCACAAACACAGGCAAATTTTTCTCCCACCTCCTTCTCCCCACCCACCCCCCAAAAAAGAAGCTCAATGATACAGACAAAGGCTGGGACTATTAATCAAGCCTTAATTTAATCAAACCTTAATATCAGCAAAATTACATAACTCGCTAGCATGTTAATGAATTCATCTCCCAAGGTTTTATGCTAAATGCTTTTTCATGACCCTGAGCCTCTCCTGTTTGGTATACTGCAGATTTTTAAAGACCTCTTTGTAAAAATACAACATATATTTTACAATTGAAAGAGAGTGGGAGCATTTTCTTTACTGAAAGAATAGCACAAAGCCAAACAGCAGCCAAGGAGCTTTTTAAAAGCCAATATTTTATTCAAAGTTGTTACTAAAATTCAGGGTGGTCCCTCTTTACCAAATTTCTGGCATTTCATCGTGCTCATAATATTCTGCAGATCAACACAAACACAGAAACAGCTATACAAAGTCACACTGCTGCTTCAGGATCCCATCTGTGAAGGAGACGGGTAACAGCTGCTTTCAGAAAAAATAATATATAGCTTCTAACGACTTTACTTTATTCAAAGTCCATTTAGCACAAGTTTCAAAGTAATTTAGAAGTGTACTTGTTAGTGACTCCTGAGAAGAGCACACCAAAGCACAACTACTAAAGCTGCCATGGCTGAGGCAGAAGGCAGTCCATTTCCTTCTGTAGGAGCTTCAGACCTCTCAGAAGCACACGCAGCATCCAGCTTCTTCACTGTAAGGATGGGGACAGGACACTTTTTTTCCATGGCAGCACTGAACACAACCAGGGAAGGGCAAAGGAGCAGTGTTATGGAAAATCAGAGGGACTGGAGGGCATGAAGGCAAGATCTCCTGCTGTGAACATCACCCATCTCTCTGCCAAGCAGCACTGCTTTAGTTATTTCGATCTCTCCCTTAGCATCAGGCCTGGCTCTCTACAAGTCTGGAATTAACAAGCGATGCCATGGGGTATCTTCTGCTCTTGGCAACTCCCTTGCCTATGCATAAAGTTGAGCTGGGTTTTGCCACAAGCTGAAAGCCTCCCTCTTTCAGAGCTGAAATTTGGCATTCATTCATGAACTTTAGTGTAAAGCTGACATACTCATATAAACTTAGATATATATTTCACCAATTTCAAACCAAGCCTGAGGTTGTTTGGATAAAACTTTTTAAAATAAAGTTTAATTTTTTTCCTCACCCTCTCGCACCTTATCTTGTCCTTCAAGTAGTTATTGTCAGCCTGTAGAATATTAGCCTGGCTTGTTTACCCAAGGTTGCTTCCAATTTTCACATTAAGCAAGAGCAATGTTGCCGAGGACTTGAGCCAAACCTAGTGAAATCCATAAAAGAAAGCTGCATCAATTTTAATGGGCTTTGCAACAGGTCTCAAACATTTCAAGAGTAGAAGCACTCCGTTCCTGCAACCACAGCATTGGCAGAAGCAGGACAGCACATTGGCCAAATGGCAGGAAGATAATAGGGACCTAAAAAGCAGGGTATGACCAGTAGATCTCAGCAGGAATCCCTAACTCCAGTAGTTAAAGCTGAGCTACTGCTGCAGTGTACAGCCTGTCAGCAGAGGAATTATCACTGTCATGACACTAGACCTATTATCTCGGAGAGATTTTAAAGACAGAGTGGAGTAGCTTACATGGGATGGGCTCAGTCACTAGGCACAGAGCCTTTGCTATTTCCCTCAAGACTGTTGAGGAACAAATGCATTTAATTTCCACACTTCTTTACTGGAGGAAAAAAACAAACAAACAAACAAAAAAAAAAAAACATAGCCTTTTAAGTCTAGGAATTGAGTCTTTGGTGATATCATAGGCTAGCAGAAGGGAAAGACCTTCTTAATCCTTCTTCCCCATTGTCCCTCTGAAGTAGAAGACTTTCCTTCATTAGGGAGAGACATGGGAGACAGCCACTACTCATGTCCCAGGCACAAGAAAAGCTCAAAGCAAGTTTTTCAGCTTATTGGAACAACCCCTGTGTCCGTTCCATTCCCTCCTTCCCTCCTCCCCCCAAAAAATAAAATAAAATAAACACCTATGGAGGTATGGAGGCACATACTCAAATGAGACTGAGTATCTCCTGCACTCTACATCATCCTCCACAAGATAAACCTGACCACTTTTGTGTATGGCAAACACAGCCCCAGGTCATCTCCTGCTGTACTCAGGTGCCTCTGTCATCATCCCAGCCACTCCAATGAGACTGCTTGCATGTGAAACAGGTCTTAGGGTGTCTACTTTTCAGCAAACAATAAATCATTTTTTTCTGCTGGTCTTGGCCTTTAATAAAGGTTACCACATTTCACCTACTCTTCTTCAGAAAAAGGTCTTGTTTATTCATCTGCTGGGTAATATTGTCATCCTGCACAGGTATGTGCACTCAAAGGTATTTAAACATCCTCCAACACATCTCTGGGCAACACAGCTACCATCTGTTATTCTCTCTCTCTTGGCCAGCACAGTAAATGATAAATGAATCTGTATATTCCTCTTCCAGGTTTGTTTTGTTGTGCTTCTGGGTTTCTTGATGCATTGAAAATGCACTTTGGGCCAAGTCCTGCACAGCATGAAAAGTGATGGAATGATGCGAATAACTGCAATTCTTTAAAGTGCCCTGGGATGTGTAGCACTCTGCATGCATAAGTCACTCCTAAGAGCAACCAGAATAAAACCTGTGACTGGCAGTGCAGGATTCTGAAATGTAACTAAAGTGGTTGGGAAGGCTTTGCAGTGACACAGCTCTTCATGCACTGAAATGCATGCGCTGAAGCTCCATAAGCCTGGTCATCCATTCCCTTTGATAGCTTTAAAATAGACCAAGACAAATGAAAGGTTTAATCTGTGCTGATGCAGAAAGAATCATTTTCTGGAATTCTTTGCTATTGCTGTGGAAGTATCACCCCAAGTATTTATGTTCATTCTTTTTCTGTTTCAGAGTGTGGAATTCTCCTGCTGGCATATTTATTTTTCCTAATACCACTAAATACATACTGAAAACTGACTGAAATAGCCTGGCTTCTTTAAGAGATTAGATGTCAGAGGTGATGGGAAGCATTTGAAGGAGGAACAACCCTTCAGATACCAAGGAGAGCTGAGTGGGTCAAGGAATCATGGCTGTCATTTTCCTGCTTCAAGATGCCACTTCAAATCTAGCCCAAATGAAGAATGAGCCTTAAGTACCTGCCCACGAGAAATGAACCAGCAACATGTGTTAGTTAATTATGGAGACATGTAAATAGCACAAAGCACATGATGCTTTACAATGATTTTGTAACCTTTTAATCTTCCAGCAGGCAAAAATGGGTCTGCAGCAAAGACGCAATGGTCACAAGTTTTCTGGGTGCTCTGCTACCTTGCTGCTGTCCTGCTAATTGAACCGGCTTGTTCTGACATGACAGTATGTTTCCTAATAAAGTGTTACTATAAGGTGAGACAAAGCAATGAAAATGGTAGTTCCCATCCAAAACACTACAGCCTGACTCATCACTTGGTTGTATCCTATGACTGCAAAGCCCCCCAAAAAAGGAAGGCAGCACTTTGGAATAGGACTCATTTCTAAATAGTGCTTGGATCCACGCACAACAGAAGGACAACGGCCTTATTTTTATCCCTTTCCCATTGTCAGAAGGCTCATATTTCAGCAAGTATAATTAGTGCAGAGATTTCAGAGCTGAAAAAGCCAGGGAAATGTCAGCACAGAAGGCCCCACAAGCTAAAGGGGAGACGCCATCCAAACATCAACTGGACAAAGGTAGGAAAAAAACAGCACCCCGCCAGTGAGATATGCAGGGCTGCCACACAGGACAGGGCACAAGCCAGGTGTCAAGGACGCCCTACACAGGTGGGCACTCATCAAGGGTTGCAGCCTCACAGGGCTGGGTATGGAGAGCAAGGCCGGTAATGGGCTGCTTTGATAGCACAGCAAGGGACAAGCCAGTACCAGGAGCCAACCAGGAGCAGACAGGCCAGGGCCACAGTACAGCACTGAAAAGGTCCATCCTGTAGCCTAGAGACAGGGCTAGAGGCAAACCCACCAACAACCCAGCTCAAGGACAAGCCACAAACCTGGGGCATGCTGAAATAGGCCCATGGAGTGGGTGGGGTTTCCGATGAAACCAGTCAGGGCTGTTAAGGCCCACTAGGGCCTTCAGGGTATCCCTCATGTCTTTTTTGCTTCTTTTTTTGTTATTGCTAGAGACTGTGGTGTATAACTGGGCCCTGGTACAGGTCTGAGCAATGGGCTATGCAACAGTAATGCAGTTTCACAGTCCGCCAGGCTGACCACCCTCTGAAGTAGGGGGGCTGCTTCAAAGGGACCCATCCTGCACTAGGAGACAGCTCTTGCTTTTCTCTCTGCAGAAAAATGGCATCTCTCCCTGACATTTCAACCCCTGGAGGAGAGGGAAACGTGGACTGTAAAGGAAACATTGACTGTACACTGAACATACTTCACCGTCCCCTTGGGAAAAGTAACTTTGCCAGTTCACAGCATGTGGGATCAGCAGCTGGCTACAATCAGGTCCAGCTCAGACTCATCCCCAACTAACCACATGGTCTCAAATACTTTTGTTAGCCAGACTTTTAAGTAACACTCCTTTTTGTTAAGATACCTCCGTTCAGGGCCTTAATTAGAGGCAACAGATCGTGTTGATTTCAATGGCCCAGACCTCAGCTGAGCTCAATTACACTTGCAGGTGACCTGCACCTCTGATGGTCAGGCCTAAGTGCCTCATATTAGACATTGAAATTAGTACACTGCACTGCTTGCAGAACTAGTAGTTTTAAATCTTATGATGAAAAGTGTATGTTGTAATGAATTCTAATTTTCTCATGTTATGGGTGAGCCTTGAATAAATATATATATATATATATATATATATATATATATATATATGACCTTCACAAATAAGTTAACTTTGTTAATTTTACATTTCACCTCCCTTGCACACAGACTCAAAGTTTTCCATTTTAACTACAGATTTTTTATCACATTAAATACTCTCTCTCTTTTTTTTTTTTTTCCTCCTGAATTTTACCATTCCTTAGCTGCAAGGAGAAAATCGAGGCTCTATATGATCACTTTTCCTCTGTGAGCAACCCCATTGCCCCCTGTCCAAGCAGAACCAGAGAGCTGCAGGAGCTGTGTCCAGCAGCAGGAAAGCGAACCCACCACTGCTGGAGCAAGTCTGCTCTCTGCTGGGGAATCCTACACAGGTGCATGCTGATGCCTTTCTAAGTGAGGGTTTTTTGCAGCATGAAGCTTCACTTGCCCATGTCTGGTTCCCTTTGCCCGTCCAGAAAGCCGCTCTACCGCTTTTATCAGTCAAGCCATCAGCCTGTAAATCCTCTGCTCCATATACCTGAAATGTGTCCACTGTAGAAACAGTCCAGGATTTTCTTGGCAATAGTAGATGTCAAAGGAAGAAGTTTCAGAGCCTGCAAATATCCTGAGGTGACTGTTGCTGAATTCATTTTTTCCATAATGTCTGTCCCACATCCCCTCCATGGCACCTGTACCTAAAATCCTACCACAAATCTATAGTCCCCTTTTACAAACTCAGATGGCCATGGTATGCCCCTGATTTTCCCATTTTCCCTCACAGACCATGAACTCAGCCATGTACTTTGAACCTCCTGATGCTCTCCTGTGTTTCTTTGCTGCGTTTCTCCCTCCATGTGCTCTCTGCATCCTCACATGATGCTTTTCCCTCACACCACAATACCTTTCCTACCAGGGCTTCTCTGGAGAGGAGATAACAACCCTTGTCTCTCCAACGTTCACTTTGTGCCACCTGCTGGCCCCAAGTCTTCAGTCTTCGGAGAACACCACAAGATCCTCCCCTTCAACGTACCTCAGGAAAGGAAAAAAAGAAACCTTTCCAGAAACTAATGGCCTTGCCAAGGCTGGTCACCATGGGTGACTTCATGAAAAGGCTTTGATTCCTACTGCTCAGCTGGCATTTAATACACCATGGTCACATGCTGGAGTCTGATGGGTCTGATAACAAGCACAGAGCATGGAAGCATGCTGGGATCTCTTCTACTTTTGCCATCTCTGTGAACGGCTTTTCCTGTCCAAGGCTGCAGCTGCCTGCAATAGTGAAGTTAAGGCCCTGGAGAGAAAACTGCTGCTGTGCCCTGGGGAAGCCCAGCCACATCCCTGTGTTCAAGTCCCCAGCCCAGCAAGAGCTGGTTGCTCCCTTGTAGCAGTACAAGTTTATCAGCTAGAGGGTGTGAATGCAAGAATAAAAACATCTGATGCTAAAACAAGGACCTAGCAGATCCATGGTTGGACATATGGGAGACACCAAAATACCTCTTACTTACCTCTGTCATTGATCCTTTTTGCAGTCACAAAGGGGAATGAACAAGCCTTTTGCCCAGATTAAATCTTACTTTCTCAGCAAAGCTTGATCACAACATTCACACATTTTCTTGGGCAAAACAAGGTTAAATCTGGATTTTAGTGACACTGGAGGTTTGGGGCTTGTTTGTTTTTGTTTGTTTGTTTGTTTTCTCAGGCTGGGCCTCCACACAGCCTGGTCTGAACAGTTTGGGAGCAGTGACAAGTAGAGCAACTTGACTCACTTGCCCATAGAGTCAGAAGAGATTTATCTGCTCAGACACATATGTCACCAGGAAGTGCATCCACTATGGGGAAAAGAGACAGTCTCAAATGAGATCAAAATAGCTTTTTATTCAGTCATATCTCACCGTGTGAAAAACTCACTCCAGGTCCTTGCAAAGCTTGGAATTTTGCTAAAAAACATCAAAACATGCAAGTGTGCTGGTGCCAGGGCTTTCTGCACAGGTGCACTGGCAGCTGTTCAACCCAGAAAGTGGGCATGGTTGGTATTAACTCTGGCAAATTAAGAGATGAACTCTGAGTCAAAAAAAAACATTGCCTGCAACATGCAGAGCTGTGGGTCAGCTTGCATGGTTCTCTGGGCCTGCTGCTCTGTTCTCAGCTGGGCTATGAACTTGGTGGGGGAATTCTTGAAAGGATTCCTACAGTTGCATTTGGGCAGGGAATGAAATCAGGGATTATTTATTTTTCCTCAAAGAAAAAAAATATATATATATATTTCCAAACTATTACTGGAAACAGTCACAGGTTCTGAGGCTTTTAACGAGGGAAAAAAATATCTGTTTTGCTAACATGAGTAATGTTTCTCAGTGTTTCTCAGCATTCATAATGAAGCCAAGCTACTGATTCTTTCTCCATCTAGAAAAGAGTAATTTTCTCTGAAGAAGTGCAGGGAACAGCATTTCAACAAACAGCAATTAATCAACGTCACTGTAGCATGCTCTTGCTTTTCTGCTCACCTCCAAAATCCCTCTCCTTCACCTTCTTTCATCACTACATCCCTGTTCTCCAGCTGATGCACAACGCCTTGGGGCTGCATTTCTTGGGCATGGTCACAGACAAAAAGAGGAGGCAGTAAGGAAGGAGAGGGCTGAGACAGAACTCAGGCCCTTGCTAGAACCACTTCAGGCAGTGTGCAGGCAACCCCACCTCACTGGTGGTAGCAAGAGCCTCAGGAACATGCTCACCACTACAAGCTCATGGCTTTTATTGGGGAAGGAGTGCTGAGATGTTATCAGAACAAAGGCTCTCTGCTTGGGCACTCAAATTTGAAAACTGTTTTTGAAGGTTTCGGCCTGAGTGATTTAGCCAAGACTAACAAGCCTGTGGCATAGTCAAGACTGGAGTTTCTGATTCCCAGTCCCTCATGTCTATTTTTAGTTCTGAAATCAGATAAACAATAAAAATCAAAAGCAACCAGTCAAACAGAGAACCTGCTGAAAAATAGCAGTTGTGTACTTTTGGCTCTCTTCCACAAGTAGCTAGGCTTTAAGTAACAATAACAAAAACAATAACAAAAAAGACAGAGAAAATAACTCTCTAAATTAGCTGTTTTTACAGGCTCCTTATTTTGCTAGTTAGGAAAACTTTACATTTTTACATCATGCTCCCAAGCGGTTCCTGTCTATACAAAGGCAGGTACCATGTTTCTTTTCAGATACCTCATCTCTCTTGATGTACCCATGCTTGTTTTTGAGAAGCAGTAAGGGTATCAGCCTCCATATACACTATTTTAACCCATAACAGCATGATGAAAACTTTTTAGTTTCTACGAAATTACAGTAAAGACTAAGCAGAACAACTTGAGATTTATCAAGCTGGATGTTTGACCTTTTTTATTCTGAACTTTAGAGAGCAATTGATAATCCCAATGCCCTCAGTTATAAGACCACTTTTGGGTGACCAAGAACCAGCTTTTAGTAGTTCAAAGATAAATGTTTACCTCGGAAGAGATTAAAAAATGGCATTTTTATTGTCTAATTTATGTAGGCATTACAAGAAAAAGTTTATTCCTGGAAAACAAGCTAGTCCAAAGCAATGATACAATGAATAAACAAAGATTTGCCAAATTTTGATGGAAAATATTGATACATATCCACTTAGGTTAGTCTATTTTAGCATGTATCCTGTGGGGAAAAAAAAAAAAAGTGATTTTTTTTTTTTGTAAACATATCATGATGCATCAGGATGTATCAGGAAGCTTAATTTTGGTATTTTTTAATTTTTTGAATGTTTGTTGAGGGAGAGGATGAACAAGATTGAGTGAATCTTTTGATCTTATTTATAGTTTAGAAGTGCCCAGAGTGCACTGAAGGTCATAAAAACACACCAGGATGCAAACATTTATTTTAAACTCTCTTGCTTTAAAGACTTTACAGAGCACCCAGAAATGGCTGATTGCCTCTTTTATTGCAGAATCACAGTAGCATCTGTAGAGAGGCTAGAACAGGGCTATAATGAGTCACCTTGAAACTGGACAATAGCACAGATTTCATCATAGGAAAAAAAAAAAGGCAAAAACTAAACAAAAAGAAAAACCACGAGACATATTTTATGGCTTTCATGAGAATCTGAAGTAGCCCAGAGCCAGTATTTTTATAGACTCTAGTATCTTTCAGACTTGACCTAAAAGCTCCATAAGAAGCAAAGTTATTTAAAATAATTTGATTTTTAAACAAGGTCCATGAACTATAACTTTGCTACAAGCAGTGGCAAAGTGACAAGCAGAACTGTTTACACTGTCATGGCTAAATATTTTGCAGAATGAGACAATTTGCCATTTTAATACCTGCATCTGAGTCCATATATTAAAACTAAACCTTATAGTGAAAAATAAACAACCACAAGCTGTGGAAGTGATTAATTAATTACAGCAATTTCCCAGAAATCAGAATAATATACATAGAGTAACTCTTTTCAAATTTTTAAATAAGTATTTTGGAACAGGTAAACTTTAGCTGCTAAAATTATATGTACGGACATAAAATTGAAATTTCAGACATTTACATCTTTTAAGGAAAAAAAAAAAAAAAAAAAAAAAAAACAATTGAATGATACAGAAATGAGGACAATAGAGGTGTAGCAAGACTCCTTCGAAAGGATTCCTCCCTCATGCATTTTTAGGACTTTTGAATGAGCCTTTGGGATTCTCTTTGTTTAGGACACTTTTTCTGTACAGTTCTGCCAGAGGGTTCAGACTCCAGGGAATCAGCGTTTCCATACAGGTCTGTAGGATTCTTTCCCACGAAAGACATTTGAAGAAACTGATCTCCAGCAAGACCAACTAACTTGCTGTCTTTGAACTAAGCTGTTTCTCGAGGCCAGGCACAGTTTGCTGACCTACTTTGGACAAGGATTTATTCTGACATCCCAGGCTACAGCCTGCCTCCTCTGACGCTGCCAGGAGAGCTCGAAGCTCAGCTGCCGATGGGGCTGTGATTAATTTGATTGTCACCAGCACGGCTCTGAACGTAAGGCTTGCTCAGGAGGCACATAAAAGGAAACTCA